TGGCTGCCTGGGCTTGAGTATCACATCGTCCACCCTGGTTTCAGTTCCATAGACACCCAGGTTTTTTTATCAGCTCTTTGTGACAAATCTGTTGCAGGCCACCACAGTGTCCCCAGGCAGTCTGCCCCTGGTGTTCACCAACCAGCACCTTCTGATCTGCAGGGATAAGCTCTGCTGTGGCAGCAGGATCTGCCTTGTGATGGGGGCCAGCAGTTGCACTGGGACTTGCAGAGTAACCTCTGTGCTGTCCCTTTTGCCCAGCTTTTGCAAAAGATAAACAGTCCTTTTGACTCCTCTTGTGCCACTACTTACCATAGAATTAAATATTCAAAGAATAGGTTGGAAAAGATCTCCAAGATCACTGAGTCCAACCTTTGACCAAACACTACCACGCCAACTAAACCGTAGCCCTAAGTGCCACATCCAGTCGGTTCTTGAACACTTTAGGGATGGTGACTCAAACACTTCCCTGGGCAACCTATTCCAATGATTTACCACCTCTTCAGGGGAAAAATTCTTCTTGATGTTCAACCTGAACCTACCCTATCTAAGTTAAGGTCATTTCCTCTTGAGCTGTCACTTGTTAACTGGGAGAAGAGGTCAACCTCCACCTGCCTGCAGCCTCCTTTTAGGTAGTTGTAAAGAGTGACAGAGTCACCCCAGGCACTTCTTTTCCCCAGGCTAAGCATCCCCAGATCCCTCAGCTGCTCCTCATGCTGCTCTCTAAACTCCACTGCCCTTGTCTGGTCAAGCTCCAGCCCCTCTGTGTCCTCCTTGTGGTGAAGGGCCCACAGCTGAACGCAGGATTCCAGGTGTGGCCTCACCAGTTCCGAGTCCTGCAGGACAATCACTGCCCTGCTCCTGCCGGCCACACTGTCCCTGATACAGGCCAGGATGCCCTTGGACTTCCTGGCCAATGGGGAACATGTTAGCTCATGCCCAGGCACTGTCAATCCGGATCCCCAGGTCCTTTTCCAGTGGGCAGCTTTCCAGCCACTTCTGTTCCCCATCCTGTAGAGCTGCACGGGGCCGTGGCCAAAGTGCAAGACCTGGCACCTGGTCGTGCTGAACTTCATTTCATTGGCCTTGACCCTTCAGTGCAGCCTGGCCAGATCTTCTACAAAGCCTTCCTGCCTTTCCGCAGATCAACGCTCCTGCTGAACTGTGTCATCCATGAATTTACTGAGGGTACACTCAAACCCCTCATCCAGGTCGTGGATAAAGATATTGAACAGAACTGTCCCCGCTACTGAGCTGGGGGAAACCCCACTAGTGACAGGCCATCAAGGGGATGTGGCACCATCCACCACCTCAGTGGGTGACCATCCAGACAGATTTTAACCCAGCAGAGAGTGCCCCTAAGCAAGCTGTGGGCTGCCAGCTTGTCCAGAATTGTGCCATAGAAATCCAGGTAGATAACAACCTTAATCTTTCCCTCATCCACCAGGCAGATCACCTGGTCATAAAAGGAGATCAGGCTGGTTGAGCTGGACCTGCCTTTCATAAACCCATGCTAGCTAGGCCTGATTCCCTCCCTGATTGTTCTGTGTGTGCCATGTGATTGCACCTAAGATGATCTGTTTGAAACCTTTCCCAGCACCAAGGACAGCCTGACAGGCCTGTATTTCCTCCCATCCTCCTTCCAACCCTTCTTGGGGATGGGCTTTTCATTGACTAACCTTCAGTCATCTTGTACCTCCCCAATTTTCCTGGACTGATGATAAATGTTATAATTTAAACACAAGCAGTTGGTTTTCAGGTTTTTGCCATTCAAAGAGTACTGAAAAATGGCCATCAATGTCTCCTTTGGGTTGGGCTTTTGTCCTTTGCAACCCTTCTGATTCAGAGAATTTCTGTCTGGGCAGCAAGAAATAGCACCTGGCTATGCCCTGAAGAGTGGGTGGGTGATAGATATGTTCCAAAGACTAGATCAATTTAAATATTGCAAGTCTTCTTGGGAAAAAAATGATCCCTTATTTTTGCAGATAATTTTTACAAGTAGTCTTCCGTGCCTGTTACGTAATGCTTGAGGTTTTGGGGAACAACCTGGCTGGCAACACCTCAGAGGAAAGATGAAGAACCATGGCTAGATGAGTGGCATTAGACTGACCATTTATAATCTGCTAAGACCTACTAAGTTCTGCAATCCATAGGGGAATACTGAAGCAGACTTCTGACTGTTGAAGCACTGTAAATATACAGCGGGGGGGAAAAACCAAACCAAAAATAATTAAAAAAAAAACAAACACAAAAACTAAAAGCAGGATCCACTAGCAGCGGCGAGGCAGGCTGGCAATGAATTAATGACTTGTTCCATGCAGCCAGCAGGTTGCGGCCCGAGTGGGGCCAGCTGAGCTGTCGTTTGTCGCCGGTGCCACTGGATGGCAATGCTGGATAAAGCATCGCAGCCCGCAGCGGGGAGAGCAGGAGGAGGAGGAGGAGGAGGAGGAGGGCTCGCAGCGCCGGCAGACGGACGGGGTATGGACAGCGCAAGGCAGGAGCGGGCACTGCCGTGTGGAGAGCCCGTGGGAAGAGCGTCCCGCCGGGATCTCACACCCTTGGCTGTAATTTTCAGCCCGAAAAGAGATGCCCGAACCTCGGGGCGTGATTTCTGAGGCGCCCCGCACTCGGAGGGCTCGAATCACGGAAAACCAATATTTGTTGATGAGTTTTTAAGCGTCGGAAGGGGCTGTCGGCAGGAGTGACTGGAGACATGCATTGGCGCGGCTTGCTAGAGATTGCCCAATTTTTATACTTAAAAACACTACTTACACTTTGTAAAAAAAAAAAAAAAAGAGTTTGCAAGCACGGCATGGCAGGGCTCAATGACTATTCAGTGAACTCATTTGAATGTGCATAGACAGGGCTTGCTTGAACTGCTGCATCAAAGAGAAATGCTGAAATGAGTCATTTGTGAATCACGGCTTATTTTCTGTTGTTAGCTCATCTGGAATCCCATGGTGATCAAACAGCCTTTTACAATGTGTTAATACATCGCTACTCCATGTGTTTAGCAACAGCTCTGTTCCAATAAATTGTAGGTAGCCACCCATTGCAAGGGGGTAGTTTTTTCCTGCCGCGTGCAAACCGGCTGGGACGAACCCGGAGAGGAAAACATCAGTAAAATTTCGTGCTGTTCCAAACACTGCTGTCCACGCTGCTCCCATTCCAATGTCATACATGCCTTCTGTCTCCTTGCTTGCAGGGCACGGTCCAGCCAGGAGAGGTTGCCTGTAAGGACTGGCGCTCCCGTCCTCCCAGAGGGAGGCTGCAAGCAAACCGGGCACAGGAATGAAAGGGAGGCAGGAAAAAAATATCCTCGGCAACAGTTTAAGGTAAGGCCCTGTTTTCCAAATTGGTGACTGTTCCCATCCTATGCCTTCAGCTGACTGGAGAGATTGGAGCAGAGTGTAAGTAGTTTCAGGCCTTGGTCTGCTTAAATTTGAAGGGAACAGTAATCCTTCCCTCTTTCTTTTTCCTTTTTCTTTTCCTGTAACAAACTGAATCAGTCCAGCAGGTCGGCAAAAAGTTGTCAAGAGTCTGAGGAAGAGGGTGTGAATCCCTTAAGGCTGCTATTGTCATTGAACTCTCCGTGGTGTGAAACCACAGCCTGAGGTGCTGAGATCCTACCAAGAGGAACCGATTCCCTTGTGCCAGCTTTTTTATTGGAGTGAGTGGCTGGAGATGGAAACATCTTCAACCAGTACAGCAAGCTTCACCACAACCTGTCAGAGCCCTAAGCCTTGTCTGCTCGTGAGTTACTTAGCCATAAGGGCCCAAATACTCTCTGCCATCATACTTAGGTTTCTTCTGTCACACAATAATTGTAGCTCAAAGGTCCTGAATAATTGCATTCCTATTGGGGCTGGTCCAGCCCCCAATAATAATCTTAATAACGTTGCTCTTAACCAGCCACATGGATTCCTTTCAATGCCCAGAGCAGGCTCAGCCATGCTGTAATACAGTAGAGGAGGCCATTCACTGTGGGGCTAATTTAGTTTAAAATGCAGCCAGCCCATTTATGGGACGATTTTTTGTTCGTGCTCTAAATTCTTATGCACAATCAACAGCCTGTAAACCTGGTCAAACCAACACATTAGCTGTTGCCCATTAGTGCAGGCATTTGGGGCTTATTGCCCTTAGGAGCAGTGTTTGTGCTGTGGGATAGTGGGATATAGTCCCTATTTAGTCAGTGGGCCCTGTCATAGGGGGAAAACATAGAAACTCTTTTCCTGCACTGGAAATCAATTTCATACAATCCCCGGATGAGTTTGACCTCACACTCACCCAGTAGCTTTTGTGACCAATGCTGCCGGCTTTGCAAAATAAAGAAGCACAACATATCTCTGTGATGGGAGAGCAGAAAATTGAGGCAAGCAAAGGAGCATCACTCCATGGTTGTGTTGCCAGGAGCAGGATTCCCAGAACATGGGGAAAGGCTTTTACTCTTGGGAAGGTTCTGCATAAGGACTAGACTGTTAGTAAAGCTCAGGTTCCTTAGTGAGTCTAAAAGAAGATTAAAGAGCAGCTTGTTCATAGGTTTTGAAATTCAGCCCACAGCATGCAAGACCAGATAAGGCATACCAATATCCAGCAGGGGAGCAGGCATCAAGGTACATGACCTAAGTCCTAACACAGGACAAGTCCTCTGAATTAAGCAACACCTTATTTTTTCCTTCAGGGTTATTTTTAGGCTGGCTACCTGAATTCAGCAGTGTGCATTACCAAAAACTTTGGCAGGGCAACTTGATACTGCATGAAGGAAGGGTAAAAACAAAAAAAGAAACGGGGTGGGGGGTGGGGAAAGCAGGTGGGAGACGTCTTTTGGGATAATTTCCCCTGGTGTGGTTGCCTTAGGGAGCAGATTTACCTCTGACAAGGAAGGCTACAGTGGAAGAGCTGCTGAAAGGAGTAATAAGCTCTCCAGGTGGGAAAGGAAGGCAGGGTAACCACCCACCCATAAATATAGGCAGGGTAGGCCTACATCTACATTGCCTACAGCTGGGGCCATCTGTCTAAAGGCAGGCACGGGTGTCAGGAAGGGAGGGCCTTTTCCAGGTTAGCGAGGCTGGGTGTGAAGCAGGTGATACCGACTCTGGGGCAAGTGATAGCCTGCCTGTGTTTGCATGCCATATTTTTTCCAGTGACACTTTGCAGAGTGTGTGTCTGTGTGTTTTCTAAATAGCCCCAAATAAACACCACACCCCTCAGACATGCCCATCTCTTACTTGTTTTGAAATAAGGACTGACAGCTGGAAGGCAGGAAAGGGGACAGAGACTTATGAGACTCATTTCTCCAGAGCCCATTTGTACCAGGACCTCCAACAGAGTAAATCTTGCCAGAACTCAGGCTGGCTGGCTTTCCTTCCTCTATGTCCAGCTGCCTGCCACATCCCTGTACCCTTAGGCCACTCACTTCATTCCTCTGTGTCACAGTTATTTTGAAGATATGGAATGAGTAAATAATGGCAACTACCTCACAGAAAAAATAAAAAAATTACAGTTAATCTTAGGATTTTGCTAAATTTTTGTGTCAAATTTCTTCTACCCCTGCCCTCACCTTTGAACAAAAATTGATTGTAGTGCAACCCTGATGCAGAGATATAGACAATATTTTGCATGTATTGTCCACCTAGTTTGTAAATGTGACACTTTGATAGTTTAAGAAACATCATATACTTTCTTTTTAACCTGTTGTCTTTAAGGCTCTTTCCAGTCTGGACCTCAGACATACTGGGAGATAAAGGGATGAAGAAAAGGATATGATAAATATCTTGACTGCAGGAAGTGGTGTTCTAAGGACATTAGTCACTTCGGATAAAGTTGCCAAAGAAGGCAATTCCAGCATGTAAAGAAGGAGAGGTAAGGAGTGGAAATGGCACGGCTCAAATTGGAGTCAGGCCCTGGGTAGCATTATCCAGGCTGTCCTGGCAGGGCTCTCCTAGTTTCCAGTGCAGTGTTTCTGGTGCTGGGTTAAAGGTAGAAAACCTTGGGGTTGTTCTTCAGCTGAATTTCCCAAAAAGAAGACACAGAGGGGCGCCAAAGTCTTAGGAAAAGAAACCCAAGCTTTAGCCTTTTTCCTGTATCGCTTCTCTGGCAGCTCCTCAGCCGGTGCGGTCGGAGGGCTGCACTTGGCTCCGGAGAGAGCAGCGCTAAGGGAGCAGCTCTTGGGCTCCAGGCTGATTTCACTTGCAAACGCACCGGGGCTTCGCAATCGCTCACGCTGCGCCGTGCGAACAGGCTGCGTGGCTGCTGTGCCTCTCCCAAGGGCAGTCCTGGGGAGACATGGGATGTGCCCAAGTGTGGGGTGGGGGTCTGATTCCCGTGGGAGGCTGGAGCATCTCTTCGTCCTTCTGGCACGGCACTTGCAAGCATGGCCTCAGATTTGTTCTGGACAAAGTTCTCAGATGGATTTGGAAAACTGCCTTTGTACCAGTATAGTAATACCACGCCTCAGAGAATAAAAACTTTGTTTGTCCAGGGTCCAAGTGTTTGCGTTCCTGGGTGTGAAGATGATGGTGTAAACCTCTGTCTGGTCAGTTTGTCCCCACGAGCTGAACCTGGCGTGGTGGTGCCTGCAGCTGCTGGAGTGGAGAGCGAGGTGAAAACCCGCAGGAGAGCTGTACCGTGGGTGCTCCTCAGCCATAACCTCCAGCCGCGCCCTCGTTTCCCTTTGACAGAGGGAGGAGGCTGGCGCAAGAGCTGTTTCATCAGCCCCTGGCTGCAATCAGATTGTACATGTAGCGGGTTGGTATCCCTTCAATGGCTGTATGGAACGATTACACCAGATTACCCAGTGCACAGCCTGCTCTTTCACTCACCTCCACAGGTTTTACTCCATAGTTGTCAGGCAGGCAGGACATTTTGGTATGAAACACCCCATAAACCCAACTGAGCCGAGCAAACTATAACCATAGCATAAGCTGCCATGGAAAAAAAAAAGCCATGTTGTTCACTGGTTTTGTTTTGTCTTGCTCTCCACTGAGTGATATATCTTAATGACAAGTTGCTGTAGCCACACAGCAATTCTTTTAATACCATAAAGTGTCGTGGGGTGTAGACATGTCCTAGGACAATGGCTAGAACTAATGTTAAAGGCTAAATGTATTGCAGCTGCATACAAGCCAGGCTAAATTAAAGACTAGAGCTCTGGAAGTTTCTTGTTAAAAAAAAAAAAAAAGTTTTTTTGTGCAGAATAATTTTTGTTTGGACGTCAGAGCCTCCAACAGTCATTTTCCAGTAATATGTCTTATTGTAATTATCTGACACTTTAAAATATATGCCTTGCAGACAGCAGTTCCAATGTTAGCATAGAAATATCAAAGTAGATTTTATTAAAACTCTGTTGCGGGAAATACCAGGCTTTGTTTTCTAAACATGTCTTATTAGGATGTTTTATTCAATGCACTGAAAATGAAATTCCACTTCCATTATATCATGCCATGCCAGGATGAATGCAACACCAAAGTGTCATTGGAGAAGCTGAGAGTTTCAAACATGAGTGCCCAAGCTTAGCCACCAAAGAGTAGTGAGCTATCAGAGTGGAAATGGCCTGTTTTATGGAGTTTCCAGTTGCCTGCTCCTCCTCTTCATATAGCTTTCCTGGCTATGGGACATGTTCTGGTGGTTAGTTCCATCCCTGTTCTTGGTTTCCTTTCCTTTCCTTGATCTCAAGCAAACCAGCTGCAAGACCTTGGGGAAATTCCTTATCTTCCCCTTGCATCAGTTTACTTATCTGTAAAGCAGATAAACTAATAACACTGCACTTCTCGAGGGTTTGTTGAAGCTTATTATACAGCAGTGAGTGCTGTAAGAGGGAAGTCATTACAAAAATGACAGTGCTAATATGACATGGAGGTAACACGAAGGAGCCCCATTCTGCTCCATGCAAGTCAGTGGAGCTCTGTTATTTGCTTTAGCAGAAGCAGGGATTTGGCCTGTGCTTAAATCACTTGCATTTGTTTTTCTTCTTGAATGCTAATATAGAGTTAAGAGATAGCATTACAAGGAAAGCTCATTCCTGCCTATGTGTAAATATTTAGCAGCTGAATAGGCATTATTTAGCAGGGCACAGTTTCTGCTTCTCCACAGTTTTCAAGGATGTCATTCTAAGCTGCTGCAGATCAGAAGATACACTGAAATTACCAGATCAAAATCCTTCCCATATAAGTGTACACATACAGAATTTATTTTACTGAGCAATTAAATGTGTAAGATAAATATCCCTGGGGGAGGAGGGTTGTTTGAGGTTTTATAGCATATCTTATTATGGGCTCAGTTTCGAAATCTTAATCCAAGCAAAACTCCCCATGTGGAGACTTAATGCTGGAGTGTAACTGTGTTTTGTGCAGTTGCATCAGTGGATTTTAGGGCAAGGGGGTAGCAAAGGCAGTGAAGCTTTGCCTAGAGAAAAGCAGCCCTTCCTAGAATATTTATAATTAGTAATAACTCTTTCATCAAACACAACGTGTTGAAGGACCTTAGGCAGCATATCCTTTTCTGGATTTCATCTGACAATGTTATTGACGAAAAATTGAAAATAAATGTAAAATAGTACTTATTTGCAATTATTTAGGGGTGTCATGGTCTGTAAAACTGCAGTCTACTGCAGCTATGAGGTTTGAGGTTGTTGGCAAAATAGTTGCCTGTGTTTCAAATGCAAAAGCTTTTTGAAGGACACGTGAGCAGCCAGAATTGCCCAGAAAATACTCCAATTTTATATCCAAGCTGCAAATGCAATGTTTTTCTTAAAACCGAGTGGGTTTTGTCTGTTTAGAAAATGAAATGTACAACAGAAGAAAGCATCCAAGTTGGAATGAATTAATAACCAGGTCTTGACCTGCATATAGTGGATGGATTTATTTTTCTAAAGACAAAAGTGCTTGGTATCTCTAGCACGAATTTATTGTGCTTTGCAAGGGGAAGAAAAAAAAAAACAACCCCCACCACATTTGTACTTGAGACCATGCAACTACTCCCTGGGGAATCCAAAAAAAAGACGAAGCCCGGAGTTTTGCCCCACCGATGCTTTACTCATAGGGATAATCTTTTTCGGAGCTCGTTTTCTGGACGTGGCAATGACAGCAGCTAGCCCCTAAGGGCCTAGGTTGAGAAAGGTGTCTGGTGAAGCAGAATGTACCGGTTACCTTTCCCTACGAGGTCCAGAGTATGGGAATTTGTACCAGGTGGCTGCTCATGCAAACACCGGCCAGTCGTCGGTAGCTGGATTGCACTGGCACCGCAGTGTGTGCTCAGTATTTACTCCTGATCACTTGCCGGTTTTGCTTGTTTAGTTGGTTTAGTGCAGTTAGTTTGGCAAATAAATATTAAAGAAGCAGGTGAGACCCACGTGCTACTTGGAAAAAACTTCTCTTTTCTGCCCCCTCCAAAAAAATTTTCAACTCGCTTCCAAAAAATTTCACTCAAACACCTCTCCCACATCGTCATTTGGCATTGAAAAAAGTTGCTCTTTGTATGCATTTTTAAGTATTTATTTGCTGATTTCCAAACTGATCAGCCTCCTGACAACACTCGGGATTCACACACCGGGCCGGGGGCAAAGGGGGGTCTCAGAAGGGGTTGTGGGGTGTGAGGGGCAATGGCAGAGACGCGCGGAAAGGTACCACAGAGCCGTAACTCAGGGACACAGCATCCTCATCCTTCTCCTCCTGCTCCTCTGCAGAGGCTGCGCAGGGGCGACGGCTCCGCGTCTTGTCCAAGCGGGACGTCCCGCATGTCCCTTCAAAGCGTATCCCAGGGCAAAGTCGCGACGCGGGGAGCCGGAGGAGGAAGAACAGGGAAGGGGCACTTGGTTTCATGAGGTCCCGGGAGCAGCTGAAGTGACCTGTTGCGCCCGGTGAGCTTCTGTCCTGTGGGAAACGGGCTTGGAAAAAACTCAGACTCAGACTGAATAGCTGGGAGACAGCGCAGTGGACAAGGCGGTCACATATGGATTTCTTCTCTTTTTCCTGTCTTTTCTCTCCTTTGCAACATCCCAAGCCGCTCATCAGAATACTTCTCCCGGATCCACTGGCCGCAGGGTTGAGACTGCTCTGCTCGGGGACCCGTCTCCCCCACAACAGGGCATAAAAACAAGGCACAAACCCCCAAATCAACAGAGGAAAAACCTCTCCACTAACATCCGAGACACAGCACCTCCCCTTCTCCGGCACCGGCCTCCCAAAAGTAATTGAATCGTGTTGGACCGCAAAGTGCGAGTGAAAAAGGGCGGGGAGTATCTGTAATTTTTTTTTCTCCCTTTTTGTCTTTGCTTTGTAGGGTTTGCGATGTTTGGGGTATTTTTATGTCCTGCCGGCTTTTGTCTCTTTCTTTCTGCCCCCCTCTGGCTGTAAGGAGGGCCCGGGAAGACATCCCGTGCGCCCCGTGAAGGCAGCCCTCATCCCGGGACAGCGGCCATCGCGCTTCCCCCAGCTCGTAAAAGCCGAGGTGGACCCACACCAACCTGAATCTCTCCTTCCGAAAATAGCGACTCCGGGAGTTCAGCCCGGGCGGGGGGCGCTTGCTCCCATCCCGCTGCCGGCCGCGGCCGCGCTCCTCCGCGGTGTCTGTCTGTCCCGCTGGGCGCGGAGCGCCGCCTCTGCCCGCCCTGGAGCGCTTGAGCTGCAAGTGGCCCCACGGGCCCAGGCCGGCCACTGCCAAAAATTACTTTAGAGAAAGAAGAAGAAAAAAAACATAGAAAAACTATTTATGTGTCAGTGAGCCGGCGGAAATCAGCCGCGTTGAGCTTCGCCCCAGCCGGGCGGCACTGGGGCAGGGAGAACTGGAAAGCAACAGTGAGAAGAATCACCAAGATAAACTCCCCGCAGAGAATCAGAAGCCGGATTTATCTAAATGTTCTTGCGGCTCGCCTTGCGGGCCGGCAGAACAGGCAGGAGGGAGTAGGAAAGGTCCGTCCGGGGGGACACTCAGGGGGGAGCTCGGTGACTCAGACCGGCTGGGGAGCCTCGACGCCGGGAAGGTGAATGACCCCCAGGACCATCTCTTCCCTACTTTCTCGTTGGGAAGAGATCCCCAACGGATGGCGGGGTTTAGCCATAAGAAAGCAGCTGGTGGAGGGGAAGGAAAGCAGGTAGGGCTTTGTCCCGTGTGCTACCCGCGCTGTGACACACGGGGAGGGACTCGGCGCGTCCATCGGAAATAATTCAGGGCGCACAGAGCTCCGCGATGACTCCCTCGGAGCCACCTGCCAAATCACTACCGAGCTGTGAACCAGACGGTGTGACACAGAGCAGCGAGGACACGTCTTCGCGCTGGAAGACAGTTTTGTCTAAGGAGAGGAGGTGCCTCAGCTTCAGCTTCCTTTTGCACAGGGAGGAGGCAGGCGGCAGGGTGAGACAGAGCTGGCACTTCAGGGATGGCAGTAGCTCAGGGTGCGGCGATTTCAGTCCCCTACACGGCCGGGTGTGCCCTCAAGGCTGCGAGGGAAAGGCGTCCTCTAAACGCCCGGGCCAGGAAAGTCGAATTCACCCCCGAAGTGCGGTCACCAAATGCCCCAGGGAGGGGAAAAGGAGCGCCCCACAACGCTGCTCTGCTGCACGCCCAGCCCATGCCCGCTTCCCCTAGGCTAAAAAAAAGAGCACGGGTGAGCCCGGTGCGAGGCAGGGCTGCCCACAGCCCCGCGGGCCGGCTGCGTTCGGGCCGCCGCGCTGCCAAGTGCCGCGGGGCAGAGCCGGGTCCCGAGCCCGGAGATTTAACCCTGTGTGGGGAGCGCTGGAGCTAGGCAGAAGGGAAAGATCCTATCGGGGGAAGTGTGGCACCAAAGTTTACTGGGAAGGCCAACTTAAAATCGAATTAACTCCCCACCTCTCTCGGCAAAATAGTAATAAAAACTGCCATTTTAAATAATCGTTA